AAGTGGGCCCGGTGGGGCGCCCCCCCCCCCCCTTTTTATGAGTATTGGTCTATGTTTGTCCCTGTCATGGGACATTACTGTTGACTATAATTCTGTTCCAAGCATCCATGACTATTTTAGTATAGTAATACTTTCTAAGGTTAGTTTTGAAGTTTTCTCCTGCTACTGTGAGGTTATATCCCCATGTTCTTGATCTTAGCTGCCCTAAGTGAACCTTCTACTATGCTGAACCCTATTCATACCCTTAAAGTGTATTTCCACTTTTGCAGTCAGTTGTGAGAAACCCCCTCATACCACAAAATAATTGAAATATATATATTTCTTACCTTTTAAATGTTTTGCTGCAGGAGGCAACATGACTGATTCCAGTTTTTTCTCGGCACCTTCACAATGATCTGTCCTTATAGAAAGACTTAGTATTGAAATTTGAGGATTGTCTTCCTCTCATTAACTTAATTAACATACAATGGGGAAGCCCCTCTCCCCTTACAACCCATCCTAACATTGCAAAAGAAGGAGAAGCAAGTAGAAAATATAACCCTCAAGTCAAGAAACTCTAACCAAAGTAAAAGTAGTTTAAACTGGAAGAAACATTTTTTTTAAAAGACAGCGGCCACTGTCAAAGTACAATGCAAACAGCGGGGAATTTGTCCCTCAACGCTCGTAAGCTTTGATGGAGGAATTTGTTCTATGTTTTTTGTTCAGCCTACGGATTGAAAGAAAAAAAAAAATAGAAATGTGCATACCTGGCTTTAGAGTCCGGCACTAGGGAGATCACCTGTCGTCTGTATATGAAATATGGGACAGCAAGCATTTATAACATTGTGCAGAGGCTGCTAAAGGTAATCATTTCATGTAAATGAGTACTGACTGAACATGCATTAATCCAATGCATATGTGTTGGTTAAAGTAGTATACATTATTATCATTATAATGTGCTTTTGGCTGATCAAGTAAGGCGACAGCTGTGGTATTTTCACTGCAGCAATGAGTTTTATTAGGTCACAGCTTTATAAAATGTTTCCAGCTTCTATTGTTGTTTGCTCTTCAATTGCCTTCTGGTCATACCTTTACTCCCCCGACATTATACATGTCATGTCAAGCTTCCGGCTCCATGAAGGGCTCCATGCCTTGACGGCTTGAGTGGTTATATACAGACCTTTCCCGGCCTTGGCTCACCTTGGGAACGTGCCATGGCATGGTACCAGGGAAGCTATATGTTTTTGTTTTTTTTTTGCATATGACAGGGAGCAGTAATGAGAATTCATGTGGTTCAATTGTTTTATGACAATGCATCACACCTTGATTGTATTACCCCTTACTGTATGACAATGTTACTTGTTTTGTACCTTTGTTTTATATCTGAAAAAAAAATATTTTGAATAAAAAATAGAATTTCCAATTGCCTTCTGGTGTCTTACAGGTGAAGGCTGCAATAGAGAAGCTTCCGAGACAACAACGCAGAGAAAGCATGAGGGTGAAAATGGATGAGTTTACACAGAGGAAACAGACAGAGGTAACTTTGCTTTCTTTCATAGATAGTAGTGACAAGTGTTCACACAAGGTTTGCTTTCAGTAGTTTTCCACCAACTCCGGTCTGAAGACTATTGCAGTGCGAATATTTCCTTAGTTCTTGGTATTTGTATCGACTTGCAAGCATTTACATTGTTGTACATATGCTGCTCCTGGGGCTGTGTAGGACAAGGGGACCAGGAGGAGTACATCTGATTCCTCCCCAATTACTGTAGCATATAAAACATATCATTGAAAGGATAGTTAGAAACCCTTTGAACAAGGTGCTCAGCTTACCTGTGGATAACACTGTTCCTTTGTTCTTTAAAAACACACGGCTAGCTCATTCAGAGCTCACTAGTAAGTCCTGAACATCTGCCAAGTGCTCCTTGGCATACTTTCTGCAGTGCTTTTGTATTCTTAGTGTGGAATGTAACAGAAGATGGACACTGAACTCCTGTCATTTCACCAGTGTAAACACCTGTTGTTAGTACGCTGGTTGGCCTTTCGTATCACCTATGTAAGTGTTGGCTTTGACTGCATTACAGTTCACTCATTTCTCTTTATTTTTTTGAAGGAGCAACAGTTTCTAAACAAGCAGAAAGAAGATATGGCTTTGGCTATGAGTGCCATTACCCTAGAGAACAGGAAGGAGATTCACAGCAAGGAGAGGGATTTTCTGAACAAGAAACAGCAGCTTCTTAGAGGTAACGCAACACCTGAGAGGGCCCCACTAATGTGTACACTGCTACTGTTCTCCATTTCTGCTTTACCCGAGGAGATTAGGTTTGGAAGTACTGAACTTCCATGAACTTTTTTCCCCTCTTAAGCAAACTACATAATGTCTTATGGTGATTATCATCTTTTGCTTTTTTTATCAACAATTCTTTTCTGCCTTTACCAACTGTTAAGCTAGGTTAAAAATGTGTATACACTTCTGAAAGATAAAATATTTAATGCAAAGGGCTCTACAAAAAGCAGGAACAAACATTTTATATATTGCAACCTACCAGTCCTTAAATGTAGTGGCTGCATTAGTTTTCTTCAGGCTTTTTCTTATGTTTTCACCTGGTGATCCTGGCAGTAACTCACTTCCTGCCCTAGATGGGAATGTCCCCACACTGTACTGCACCCATCAAAAAGTAGCATTGTTGCCATAGGACAGGACTACAAATGCATCCCATCTCCTCTTCACCAGAACATAAAGAGGAGGGGTTACTGAAATCTTCAGATAGCTGAAAACAATGTAATTGATAAAAATGCAGCAAAGATAGATAGCACTGGAAGTTTTTAGCTGGATTAACAGGTATTTTTTTCATTTATCAATCAGACATAACACAACACCTTCAATGGTATGTTTAAAGGAGAACTATGGGGTTAGGGTTTTTCCCCAAAGGTCTCCTTAGGGTAACGGGAGGACACAAACTGGCGTCCTCCCGCCACCGTAGGCTCAGTATACCGCGAGCTACAGCTCGGGTATACTGGATCCACCCAGCTGCGTGACTGACAGCTGGCTCTGCCTATCTAGAGGCAGAGCCAGCTGTACCCGCCCCCTCCCCCGTTCGTTCCGCCAGTCAGCGCTGGAGGATCGGAGCGGGGAGGGGGGAATCCAGTCCCTCTCCTGTCACGTCAGAAAGCCGTGACAGGATCGAGAAGTGAGCGAACGCCTGTATGTGTTCGCTCACTTCCCGATCTACTGGGCCGACCTGTGACAGTCTCATTGTCACAGGTCGACTAGAACTATGAGGTGAGTGAAAAGCACTCACCTCTTAGTTCTCCTTTTAACAAACTGATAGGGACAAAATAAGAGCAGTTCATTGTTTTGAGTGTTAAATTAATAAAAAAAAAACTGAGAGCGTCTTTACTTCTGTGTCTCATACCAAAGGTTTATTACTGGTCAAATTATGGACCTCTGTTGTAAGGCTAGTCAAAGTATATACCGTTGTTATGAGACCTGCTCAGTGGAGCCTAGCAATGCTCCGCTTTCTGCCAGATTGTGGCAAACATACACAGTTAGCAACAACTATAGCACAATCCAGCCCACAGGTCAGGGGGGAATAGGTATGACACCAGGGTTTGCTGTGTCACATTCATATAAATAAATGAAGGCGTACCAGAATCTTGAAAGCATGCATGATCTCTCGCCATATTATGTGCAGGCTAGATCACTGACATTGGCCTCATTCTATTAACTTTGTCAACTACATTTCATCTTAACATAATGACCTCTGATTTCTAAGATGTACTTTATATCATTCCTAGAATAGTGCACTTTGATTTATTGAAAACTGAGGGGAAAAAAGTGTGTGAGCAGCTTGTGACAGAAACCAGCTGTTTTGCTGCTGAAGAAATTGTTTCTAGAAGCAGTACAGGCAAAAGCAGGGAAGCATGGAGGAGCTATTTAATGAAATGTTTAGGCAAGGGTAAGAATTGTGTTCTTGTGTTGAGACTGCTTTGGGGCAACGCAATCCAACACTAGAGGTGTGAATAAATGCCTAGATAAACCTTTTCTTGCTGAAAGAGACATTAATAAAAATCCTACGCAGAGAATACCAAAGTGGAAAGAAATAGTGCCAAGAACTATGGTATAGAGATCACACTACTGGTACCATCTAGATTCCACCTATGTGTGTGGAAGATTGAAAAGATGCCTTGCACTGTATGGACATGTGTGTGGAAGATTGAAAAGATGCCTTGCACTTTGTCTGGACTGATGCCTTGCATCAGTCCAGACAAAGTTATTTGGAGTGTTTTCCTCAACATTGTTTGTCACCTTTGTCCTTGATCTTGATACACCAATATTTTCTACATGTTTTCGTCAAGTGGCAATATACTGCACCTAAATTCAAATGATGACTAGCCTTTTAAATAGCTTTTTCTTTACTGACACCCAGCCCCCCCCCCCCGCAATAATGGCCGCATTTCGTTTTCTCAGCCGGTGGTGTTGTGCATTTTCAATCTATTCTCCATAGGCTCTAATGGAAAAGCAGTTATTTGGGAGTACTACATGAACTCATTGTGCACAACTTTCTGATAACATTTTTTTTTAATAGCAAAAAGGCAACAACTGTATCATATCACATTAAAGCAGTCCTTGCAGTAAAAAAAGCAAGTCCCTCTTAAAGGAGAATTATGAGGCGAGTGATTTTCACTCCGCCTCATAATCTGAGCAGACCTATGACAATGAAACTATCACAGGTCGGCTCAGTAGATCGGGAAGTGAGCGAACACATACCGTCGCTCGCTCACTTCTCGATCTATCCCTGCAGAGAGCCATGACTGTCACGGCTCCCTGTATGGATTCCCCCCCTCCCCTGTCCGTTCCTCCAGCGCTCACTGGCGGATCGGACGTGGGAGGGGGCGGGCACAGCTGGCTCTGCCTCTGGATAGGCAGAGCCAGCTGTCAATCACGCAGCTGGGTGGATCCAGACAGAATTGTCAGGATCCGTTTCGGCTGCGGCGTCTCCGTATACCGCGAGCTGTAGCTCGTGGTATACTGAGCTTTGGGTCACAGGAGAACGCTAGTTTGTGTTTTTCCGCGACCCTTAGGAGAACTATGGGAAAAGCACTGACCCCATAGTTCTCCTTTAATGTATCCGAGCTCTCTTCCCCCGTTACAAATTGCAACTTTAAAGTTGAAGGATAACTAAATTTAAGAACAAAAATGTAATATATTGCAGCTTACCAGTCCTTAAATGTAGTGGTTGCATTAGTTTTCTATTTTCAGGCTAAGAACATTTTCAGTGTCACTTCCTGTGAGCTGAACTGAAAGTGCAAACAATGTTATCTTCCTTCTGTAAACTGCAAATCCAATCAATCAACCATGTAATGTAGATAAGCAAAGGCAGAAGTGTTCAGCCTGGGTGATAACCCTGGTTCTCTCTTTAAATACAGTGGAGGAGTGAGTGCAGCCTCCCAGGGACAGGGAGTGTGTTATTCACAGAAGGGGAAAAAAGAAAATGAATGTAGCTGCCACATTTATAGACAGTTTTATTTCTGTGTTTAGACACGCCTTACAAACAAAAAAAACCCTGTGGGGAAGAAAGTTATCTATACTTCCCTTATTCCTGGCTTCTGTCTATAGCACCTAGGCGAGGGTGATGCCACACACTCCTTTTAGCAAGATTCTGGGGAGTGTGGAGTGTCCCAAAGCTTGCAAAAAGATGCTCCTGAACTGTGCTCAAGTTTCTGCATTCCCTGTGATCTCGCTGGAAGGACAGGAAATAAAGGGACATTTCTCCAATGGTACACAAACAGCAGAAAAAATCCTTCCCTACTCTATTCAAACCTAAAAAATGTTTTGGCTGTACATATACTTTGTTCTTTTTAATCACAGTTCTATTCTGTTCCCTTAGACAGGGAAGCCTGCATTTGGGATTTGGAAGAGCGCCACCTACAGGAGAGACACCAGCTTATTAAGCAGCAGCTAAAAGACCAGTACTTCTTACAGCGGCATGAATTGCTTAGAAAACATGACAAGGTACAGAAACTTCTGAGGCTGATCACTGCTGACTTCTGTTTATAGTAAAAGTCGGCTGCTGAAAAGATGACTAGCTCAGTGCTCCTCTGAGAGCCACAAATTTGTATTTTATACTCATTATTTTATTGTATTGTACTTCGGGCTTTTTCTTGATGCGCCTGGCAGGAAAACCATAAGTTAACTGATCTGACCACAGTAAACAAAATCCTCACTACCATTTACTGTGCTTGGCATGTCCTCGTGGTTTGTGTACTGCCTACTTACATCAATATTTTGCATTGGTGTGCTTTTATTCATATATTTATTTTTTTCTTATGAAATGTATTTTAACTATATTTAAATGCATGCCAGATTACTTGTGGAAAAAAGTTATATAGAAACTAGAGAGCATTAATATATATTTTTTCATAAGACCTTGATGTAGGGTTGTATTTGAGCTCTGGTGTGAGCCTTGAAGAAGAGTCAAGAGGCTTTTGAATAGAAGCTATAGTGAACTTTCTGTTTACACATATCTTGAGAAGGTTTACTTCAAAGTAGAACTCCAAGCAAACCGCTATATGCAAGGTTGGAATAAAACATTTTTTTTGTTACCTGCCAAAGGATTTGTACGTTTGGCCAGCCATTGTTGTAACGCAAATGCCTGTAAATGAGTAAGGTCAATTTGCTACTTCTAGTTTACCTATCACTGCTTTCTGGATCAGCTTTTAGTTAGGTGAGGATGCAGATTCATTTTCTAGTGAGGAGACAGAGGTGTGACAAAGGAACCTAATGTGATTAATCGGAAAGAAGTTAATAATTAGCCCCTTACGTGTTTCACTTGCCTTGCTGTGCAGAGTGCAGTTGTACAAAATTACAAAAGCTGTGGCAGTAAAATTCATACTGTAGGAGCCATTCAGGCAGGAATCTCAGAAAGGGTTTACAAGCTCTTCTTCACGATGACATACCTGGTGTTATTCTGAGCTAAAATGTAATTGTATCTTTGTTACAGGAGAAAGAACAGATGCAGAGGTACAACCAGCGAATGATGGAGCAGCTTCGATTACGACAGCAGCAAGAAAAGGGCCGAATGCCAAAAATCCAGAGAAGTGAAGCAAAAACCAGGCTGGCCATGTACAAGAAAAGCCTTCATATCAGTTCTAGTTCTAGTGCTGCTGAGCAGAGAGAGAAGATAAAGCAGGTAGGTAGCAGAGGTCTAGGCCTGCCTGCTGTAGCTGTAAAAGTGCCTTTCTAAAATGGGGGCTTGTGCATATGTGTCTATTTCTAATCTGTTCATAGTCGGGATGTACAGATACCAGTTCAGATACCGGTGCCGATACTTGGCATTTTCACGAGAACTACCAGGGTTGCAGCGGTTGCAGCTGGGACCTGGCTCTGGCTCTCCACCACTGTACTCAAATCATTAGTGTCATGTGACAGTTTTTCTATAACAATACAGACTAAACAAAAATGTATCAGTACTTGTATGTGTGAGTACTTGGGCAAGTATCAGTACTTGTACTTGGAAAACTGGTATCTGTGCAGCTCTTTTATATATTTATAAAAACAAAATCATACATTAAAACAGAGATGTACAAATCCCAGGAGCTCTGTGTGCTCCTTACAAATGACAGCTGCCTCCTAATTTCTGAATTTTTCTCTAGTCTTGCACTTGTACCTGTACCGAGTACGGTACTTGGTATTTGAACATCCCTAGTTCATAGTAATCAAACTAGTTCTTAGTCTTCAAAAAAAGTTACCTTAATGCCTGTGTCTTATATTTGAAAAAAAAAATACAAAAAGGTCACAAGCACTCCAGCATGTAGAAAAGTCAATGTTTATTGACTTCACAGGTGTCACATCATCAGAGCGACGTTTCGGAACAGCAAAGTCCCTTCCTTTTTGAATTATATTTGAACTATACATACTGCGTGATTTATACTTTGTGTTTTGTACCAATTGTGTGTTACACAACACACCAATGGTTCACCTGTGCAATTCACTTGTGTTCAGGATCACTGGCAAGCACAGTTGTGGTGCTTCTCAAAATGGCAATGCACCACCGATCATGGGTTAACATGCATTATACTATTCCACTATTTACCTTATGTTACCACAGTGCATAACGGGCCCTAAAACTGTAGCTAGTAGTTTAAGTGCGACGCTGGCTTTAGTCTGGATCTAGTAGCTGTGAAGTGATCCAGTTCCTTCACAGCCCTATAGCCCTTAGTAATTCATGTACGGTGACCTCTGAGATCATAAGCTAAGTACCTGTCCTATGCTTTGCCTTTATTAGCAGGTAGTAATAGACAATTTGTACTGCATTCTGTGAAGTACATGCCATTTCCTAATCAGACCAAATTAAAAAATACCATTCACACAGGCTGAAAAATAATGAAGGCCCAACACTACTATATAATGTGATGTCAAACACTTCAGAGCTAAAGATGGACCCTGCTCAGGATCAAATCTGAAAATGTTAACCTTTGCACTGGCTGTGGAACAGAATGCAGCATAACTTTTCAGTGTCTTATTGATCTGCTTGATACATTCATATGACTGTCTTTAATTGCAGACCAGATTAAAGTCTTTTTTTTCCCTTCTAGTTCTCTCAGCAGGAGGAGAAAAGACAAAAAGCAGAGAGAGCACAACAGCAACTGAAACACGAGCAAAATCAACTGGAAATGCAGGCCCAGTGTGACAGTAATGCCAGGGAGCTGCAGCAGTTACAGGTTTGTGTATATAAATACAGAATAATAAAACAAATTTTCTAGTATTTCTTTTGTATTTCGTTTTGGGAAGATCATTTTGATGCGTTGCAGCTTTGTATATGTATGCAATAGTATTATAAAATGGACAGGTACTTACTGCACTATTGTAGCATGTTTTGCTAGCCTCCTCTTTCACGTTTCTACCTTTAAACATGTACTGATTTATATTATCAGTTTTTAACTTTTTATGTTTGGCTTTTCAAGACCTTTTGGACACAACCTGTTTGTATTTTTCTTTATTTCCGTAATAAGTTTTAAATCCCCCAAGCCCCATTTTCTGTTTCAGTATACTTCACTGCTGTTAAGTTCACTTCTCAGTTGACATCACATTAATTGATGTCATTTGAGTGTCATTGGCTCCAGCTCTGCTGTAGTTGGAACATTTTCCTCCTGTTGGTCCATCTTTGTTCCTGACATGTATTGCTGTCTATTGCTTGGCGTTTTAGAATGAAAAGTGTCACCTTCTAGTGGAGCATGAGACCCAGAAATTGAAGGCATTGGATGACACGCATATTCAGATGATAAGAGACTGGAGGGATCAGCTAAGACCACGTAAAAAGGTATGCACATAACAGTCTGACGTTGTATAAACTTAATGGAGTATGCAGTTTGTGCAGAGAAAGGTGTTGATCAGTTTTAACTCTATTTCATGGCATTCACTTAGCATTTACACTTGGCAGGCTGAAAATGTGTCCATCCACATACCTAAATACTTGGATATGTGGTGGAAAACATTTGTTTGCATTAGAAGCATACAAATTGTAACAAAAAAAAAAAAGATAAATAGGTTTATTTACTATAAAACTGCCCTGCGAGCACAGGTTTCTTTTAAAGTGACCCAGTCACCACAGGGTCACTTCTAAAATAATTTCAGTTTGTAAAAGAGCATCTATCTTACCTTTGCAGTGCCCTGTGACTTGAAACTCTGCCTCCCCAGTCGTTGCAGGCATTCCACTTCCGGGTATGAATACCTGCTCTTCCCACCTCACAGTTTATTTCCTCTTGCCAGCTTGGAAGTCACTATAGGACACACAAGCTCACGGGAGGAACCACAGTGTGCGGCAGGGGAGCAGATATTCAACACACATGAAAGTGTTAAAAGCTTTCAGCAGAGAGGCCTCAGAAAAGAGCCAGCTTTTGGAGACACGGGTGGCTGGAAAGGTAAGTATAGATACTCTTCTTGTATAGGTCGGGCTTAGCTTAGGAGTGACCCGTTGGTAAAAGGGTCACTTTATTTTTTTCTATTCATATTTTATTCATTAAAAAACTTGTTTTTTTCCTCAACACATACACCATAGAAAAACATCACAATACGGAACAAACCTCATCCACAAAATAAACATAACTAAATCCAACTTTACATATTTTAAACCTTACACATTCAGAAACGGTCACTTTATGTAAAAAAAAACAAAAAAAAACAGTGATAAAATAGGTTTATTAAACCAGTAATACTTGGAGTACAAGCATAACAAAGGATGTGGGTCTTCTTATATTCCTCAAAATGTTGATGCAATGGTGCCACCTTGTGGACAAAGGAAAATGTGCAGGCCAAGGGTTTAGTAATATCAACCAAGAAAGTTCAATGTTATATGCTTGAATAGGTTATATCAGACTTGAATTGTTCAGTGGCATTAGCAAGTGGAAAAAAACTTGCTGCGTGTGTTAGTATACATGACAGAGCCCTACATTTTAGAGTAAAAGTCAAAAATGAGCTTTAGTTCCGTTGGTTTCCTTTACTCCTGCCTTTGACAAGAATTATGGTTTAGTCCTCCAAAAGTGTACCTTTCCCCAGAACATGATGTTGTGTGTGGAGTAATGGCAGAAATGGCTTTGTGAGAATGGTCCAGTCAGACTGCAGAGGGCCTTGCTCTGGTGCAAAGGTGAGTATTTGAGGGGTTTGGATGCTATTTTTTAGTGGCATTATCAAAAGGAAACGTAAGTTAATTTAGCACCCTGCACTAAGGAATGTGTCTGTGTCTGCAGCATTTAAAACTCTGGCTCTATAACCAGGGAAAGCGTAGGAACAAACTGGGACAGCAATGTTCAGGTTCTGTTAGAAACATTCATAGGGGGATTTCTGTCATAGAATATCAGCAGTAGCAGATGGCACTTATTTATGTAAAAGGTGAATTGTTTGTGTACCATCTGTGTTTTGGTCCCATTGTTCTTCATGTAAGCAAGCACCTAAATGGCTATAGTACAGTCACAAGAAAAATACATTTGAATTCTTCCTGAATAAGCCATATTGTTGTCTCCCAGCCTCTGTTATTTAGTAAGGCTTTTTAAGGCAAGGTGCAGACATTAAATCCATAGCAGCCTGATTTGATCTCTTCATTGTCTGCCCACGGTAAATTGTTTCTGCCATTTTACAACATTGCTCTTTAGGTTTGCATTATTGAATTAACCAGGCAAATGTTCATCTGACTATGGTCCTGTATTTCAATGTAACGCACCTGCTGCAACGTTGAGTAACAACTCACCCTAGAATTGAATGGAAAGTATACCGTATATGTGTGAACACGTCACAGAAAATTAACAAGCAGCTCATCGGATTTTGATATTGCGCTAGATCGAGGTCAGGTAAATATAAGACTTCATGGGAGCAGGGAACAGCACAGTATTAGCATGTCCTCAACAAAGGTGCAGTTACCCTGTAACAACACTACTCAGTGACAATACTGGTACCATTTAGCAGTTATTCCAGACTGTTGAGCATAAAGGTGTTGTAAAGTCCCAGCATATACTATCCTGTTATCAGCAATGTATTAGATTGTAAGCCCTCACGGGCAAGGCCCTCCTTACCATCTTGTCTTGATTTGTATTGTGATTGTAATGTCTTCCTTATATTGTAAAGCGCTGCTGGCGCTATATAAATCCTGTATAATAATAATAGGAGTACATACTAGAGTTGTTTTTGATCATGCAATCAAAGCTTACTTAAAGGAGAACTATGGGGTCAGGGCTTTTCCCCATAGTTCTCCTTAGGGTAACGGGAGGACACAAACTAGCGCCCTCCCGTTCCCCTAAGCTCAGTATACCGCGAGCTCCAGCTCGCGGTATACTGAGCTTAGGGGAACGGGAGGGCGCTAGTTTGTGTCCTCCCGTTACCCTAAGGAGAACTATGGGGAAAAGCCCTGACCCCATAGTTCTCCTTTAAAAAAAATCCCTTTTATGTAGTGAGAGCTGCCTTCCATCTACCCATCACTTTCATCAACTTCCTGGATTCCCAGTGCGCTTTGCTTCTCTTTCCCTGCTGCTTGATGTGATGTAATCTCAATTTCTCAAGACTGCATATCCCATCATGCATTGCTTCCAGCAAGCAATGATAATGTTACATTGTTCAGACGTTGAGCTGTAGTTCAGACGGCAGGCTTTGTGTGAGTTTTGACACTAGGAAGTACATATTTATAGGGCCGAGTGACATTGTATCAGTACATGGAGGAAGTGTATCCTATGGGCATCTTCAGTAAGTAAGTTTACATACATATTTATTTTACATTTTTGACCATAGATACCCCAATGTTGGATATGGATGGTTTATGATGTATGGTTTGTAGTTATGATCAAATCAAGTTTACAAAATCATTTAACTTTTATTTTACTTCTCTTCTGTGCATTTTCTTTCTCTCTTACACCAGATCCTGGAGGACGACTTAGAGCAGAAGAAGCAGGAACAGGAAATGTTTTTCCGCGTGGGTGAATTTGAAGCAGGACAATGTGGACCTTTCCTGAAACCCGCCAAATTTGTTGCCTACAGTTCAGCTGAAGCTTCATAAGGTTTTGTTTAACTGAAGAGAACAATACAGACTGTAAAGTTCATCTGCACACACAGCTGGGCAAAGATGTCTTACCACTTAACCATCTACTTGTATTGGTGCGTCCAGCATATCTGTAAAGGCGGCTGTAAGTCATCTCCTGGACATTCTAAAACCCGAGGATCCTGTAAACCATTGGAGGAAGTCAGTGTTCATCATTATTAGACATGATTTAAGGTTTTTTTCTTGTGTCACATCATATGAAGAAATGGTTTAAGGGACATGCCATTGTTTGGCTGTGTGTGTATGTGGTCCTTCAAAGCATAAAGGCCAGCATGCTTTAATTTAACTATTAGAAGATCAGAAACTGTATGCCAGTTTGCTGCCAGTTTATTCCTTAATTATCCATTGCATGTACATTCGCCAAGAGGATCTCTTTACCACAGTGATAATCTATGTCACTTTGTTGTATGTATATCACTCATATATTGCCAATGCAGATGCCATTCCTTCTGTATCTGCAGCACACCCTTCTAAAAGTTGCATGCCAAACAACATATCAAAGATTTTCAAAAAAAGAAATCCGAGCAAATACATTTTAACCCTTGCAGTGGGTCACCCCAACATTGCAAGGGTTAAGTGCTTGTTTTGTCTAGGGAGCATAAAAAAAACAGTGTTGTATTCACCCGAAGTACAAACCTGGCTCGCTCCCTTCAACCTCTCTCCCCTTCCACTCCAGCGGGTCCTGTAAGATCCTGTGAGTCATTATGTCCTATTCGTGTATAGAAAGTGACAACATCAAGGGACATTTCATTGCTGGAGCAGAGGCGGAGACAGGCTAAAGACAGGTGTAGCAGCCAGCCAGGATCGTGGTTCTCGTAAGTATAAATGTTATTTTAGCTCTCTAGACAAAACAAACACTTAACCCTTGCAGCGTGGGGGTATCCCCACTGCAAGGGTTAAGATTTTATTTGCCTGGAGTTCTTTTTTAAAGAGACTGTTACCTTTCCCACTCAGAGCAAACTCTTTTCTAAGAAGAACCTTCCCCGCTGTCCTGCCACAACATTGTTCTATCAGTGTGCTGAGTCCTAAACCTGTGTAAGCTCTGTGTGTGAGCTTACACATGGCTAACTTTTTTCTCCTCCTCATGTTCGGGCTTGGCAATTGGATTCTCAGGGCTGAGCACTGAATCCTGGGAAGAGGATAGCACCAGGTATTTGCTAAAGGATTCTGGCATCAGATGAAACAGAAGGAGTATTTTTATCTTACAAGAGAACGTGTCACTTTGCCATGAAAGGGTAAAGTAACAGATTCTCTAAGTTCAGAGATGCCCCGTAGTTTAGATGGAGACCAGAATATAACCTATTTATATTTGGAGTTTAAAATCTTTCTGTGTCTTTATTGGAAAAGGCAAAGCAAGGCCTGAGTAACTCACAGAAAGCAATCCGATTTCAGTTGACTTGTTTGGAATCCAGTCTGGCTGCTGTAGGTGATTGCTTCTTTCCCTTAATAAAAAAAATGGTATATTTTTTATTCAGTTAACGCATGACAAGGGACCAAGTAAAATATATTTTCTTTAGCCATGTATCAGAGTAATGTGCCTTCTAGATATTAGCAAAGGGGTTTAATATATTTCACAGCTTTTTGACTTGAACTTGTTTTTTGCACCTAATGCTGTGTGAAAAGTAGCAGACTGCTGGCCAGTCATTAGTAAAGGTCAAGTTAAAGAAGTGAGGGTATCACTGATGACATAAAGCAATAGATCAGTATGAATCTTGTATTTATCAAGGGCTGATGGCTTATTTATCATGGCAGTTCAAAGAGTGATGTTGCATAAGGTGTAGTATCGCAGAGAAACCACATCAGATTTATGGTATGGAAGAACAATGGCGATTGTTTGCTCTTTGTTACCACTCTTGTCACATTGCACGTTTAAATAGGCCTGAAAAAGTTTAGCTAGGCGATAGTAATAACCTGGCATAATACTTTGCTTTCTAATCATTTTTTACACTTACAATATTTGACAGTATGTAGCCAGAGACCAGCTCAGTTCATATGGAAAATGTGCATTCCCTGACATGGAGACAAGCTATTAGCTGCAGCTGGGAACAGTGTGAATTCTGCATGACGTGACTGAGCCAAAAATCTATTAAAACTCTGAAATGTCCACTTTGCTAATTGCTGCTAACTTCTAAAATGCAGTGTTTCTGTTTATTTCAATTTGTACCTGTATTGGGGAAAAATTACACCTTTTTATCTCCATACTGGAAAATGATTTTCATTTGGACAGAGAATTCTGTAAGAGACTTGAATACAGTTGTTTAAAAGGGTTTTCAGCTGGCACAAAAACACTGTACAATGTATATAAGAGATTCTAATAAAGTAACAAGAAAATAAATGTAAGCTGAATGTTCCTCCTTGTGTGACTGTGGTTTCATGGATTTATTAAAGTGTACCTGTCTCTTGCATACAGTGGAGGAAGAAGATCCATGGCAACAGATGTATGCATAGTCTTTCTGGTCAGGCCATGAAATGGCTATAATTGTAAGTACTTTGGTATTCTTTTCACAAGCAAGTTAAAGTGACACTAAACTCAAGAGTTACATCTTAAAAATGTATTCAAGTACTTTATTATCAAGAAAGTATCTTATTTGTGTATCACTCAGCTTTAGATCCTCAAATCATCTCTGAATTGGTACTGACACTGTCCTTCCTACTGGAGGGTGGCTACTTCTGTTCCCCATGGTCTCTGTGTGTGTTGTAAAGTAGTCACCGCTCCAAGCTCCCTCCTGTCATGGACTACAATCTCAATACAAATTAGTAAACTAAACGTCAGGGGTCATGAGGAAGAAAAGTAACCACCCTCCAGAAGGAAGGACACTGTCAGCACCAATTCAGATATGATTTGAGGATCTACAGCAGAGAGCCGGTGCACACCTAGGCGATTTGAGTTGCACGATATTGCACAAAACACAGTTTTGCATTGAAGTCAATGGAGGCTACTCACACCTTTGCAGTTTGTCACGCGACCGAAAACGCCTGTCGCGTGAAAAAGTGCAGGAGCTATTTTCGGGCAGTTGTCGCGCGGTTTGGGTTCCATAGACATCTCTCTGCATTGAAAAACGCGTGACAATTGCGCGGTTTACTATGAACAGTTACGTGATCCAAAACGCGCGAAAACAGCTCAGCATCTGAATTGCCTAGGTGTAATCCTAGACTCGGTGATACACAAATAAGATAAATTTTTATTAATCGTTAGGGTACCTGAATGCATTTTTATGATTTAACCCCTGAGTTTTGTGTCACTTTAAAGGAGAACTATGAGGGGAGTGCGTTTCACTCACCTCATAGTTCTAGCCGACCTGTGACAATGAGACTGTCACAGGTCGGCTCACTAGATCGGGAGGTGAGCGAACACATACCAGGTTCGCTCACCTCTCGATCCTGTCACGGCTCTCTGCCATGACAGGGGAGGGGCTGGATTCCCCTCTCCCCGCTCTGATCTGCCAGCGCTGACCACCGGAACGGACGGGGGAGGGTACCGCTGGCTCTGCCTCTAGATAGGCAGAGCCAGCTGTCACTCACGCAGCTGGGCGGATCCTGTCATCTACGTCAGGATCCGCTCCGGCTGCGGCGTCTCAGTATACCGCAAGCTGTAGCTCGCGGTATACTGAGCTTAGGGTAACGGGAGGACGCTAGTTTGTGTCCTCCCGTTACCCTAAGGAGAACTATGGGGAAAAACACTGACCCCATAGTTCTCCTTTTAAGTGATTCACAGGCTTGGTGTGCATTTGGTGGTCAGTGGGAAGAGCAACTGCTTTTCCTTGCGTGTTTTATATAAGAAATTGTGAATCCAACAAATACAGTATAACTCAATCTTATATTCTCTAAGGACTCCAGAAGTAATTTCTTTGCAAAGTTCCTAAATATCTTGTGTTAAAGATTGTATTACTTATACCATGCGTGTCAGTGTGCTGCAGTGCCTTTTATTTTGCATGGCACCCCAACGCACCTCCACAATGCACGTGTTATTACCACACACTTGGGGGAATTTATCAAAAGTGAATCAGAATCTGGAGCAGCGGTGAATTGCAACCAATCAGCTTCTCTCTTCAGTTTGTTCAGTTAAGATTTGAAAATGAAAAAAGGAAGCTGATTGGTTGCCATGCACAATTGCTCCAGACTCCAGATTTTGTCTGCTCCAGTTTTGATGAACTCCATGTGCTTCTTACAAATGACAGCTGCCTCCTAACTTTTGAATTTTTCTCTAGTCTCAAAAAGCATCTGTACATGTACTTGGTATCGGTGCTTTCCTAATTTACACAGCATTGCACACTGTTTTTTACGTTATTTCTATGCTGCGTACTTTAGCAGTTGTGTTACATTTACTATTTGATCTGTCCTTGCCTTCCCTTAGTGCATTATATCAGCACTGTATACAACTTCAATACTGACAAGCCAGCAGGTGGCCCCTGTTGTTGCAAATGCTGTTATACAAGCCAGTGAGCATCTTTGACCACTTGGTGGCATTGAAGTGTTTGGAATGTGAAAGGCCAAGCATTTCTTAACTCAGAAATACAGTTCTGTATATTCCTACAGAAGGAAAATAGAAAATAAATGTTAGGAATGTGTATCTTACGTGAACTGGGTGTGTTATTAAGGGGGTCAAAGTGTTTCCCAAAGCAGAACCTCCATCGCATAGGAAAGTATGTTCATTCTAGCTCTCAAATGACCAATTAACCCATATAAGAACAGTTCATCTTTGTATTCTGTCCCTGTGGTCTCCACATATATCTGAATGACTGACTGTAGGTCCTCTTGCACAGTCCCCTATTGTAAGACAAAACTTTCATTTTTCTTGAAGAGACTGTTAACCTTTTGCCATTCAACTAATTTGAACAGTACTTGATTGAAAACGTAGCATATCCAATTTTTATCCAATAAAGAGGAACCGTGGGGAGCAAACTGGTCTGGTTTAAACTTAAGGGAGAATTCCTATTTTGTTAAAAAAAATAATAATATAGCATATAAAATTGCTACACAAGCCATTTTATAATTTAATGTGATTAAAAATGTAATTTCCATTTCTATCTGAAGCTGCTCTCATTTTCTAAAACTGTTCAAAAAAGTCAATGGAATATGGCAACCTGGAGGAGTTCTGTACATCATGGGTGTACAAAATGCCCCCAGAAATGTTATTTCCTGCATGTGTGATTGGCTGAATGACTTTGTCATCCGTTTGCGCTAAAATTCAAGTAACATTTTAGGCATCCCATGCAAAAGGAATTACAGATGGGGTTATAGTCATTCTCCAAATTTTAAGGCGGTAGAGCCTTTACAGGAGTTTTAAGCCTTCTCTATTCTAAAAAATAAATAAAATACCCTTTAAATACTTCTAAATGGATGCAA